CAGCTGCCCCTCGAGCCGTCATTAACTGACAGGCTATTTTCTTAACAGGCATCAAAAGCCAGAGTGAGCCTTTCAAGTGAGCTATGCTGAAGAAGCACACAGTGGCTGTACAGAACAGCACATACAGTTAGTTATACCTATAAAACACCAGCCACTGATCCCTTCAGGTGTTACTGCAACTACTGTAGTTTTAATACCTGCACAGTTTCATTCTCAACAGTTCCCTGGCACAGATGTAAGGCTGCTCCATCAGCACTCAGAGGGAGCTAATGGAAGGATTTCTATTTCTGCTGTACGAATTTCTGCTCCACGGATAACTTAAGTGAGGAATTCTTTTTTATGTCAAGGTTGGAGTAGGAGGTGATAGTTTGATTGAAGCCAGCGAGCTAAAAACTACGTGCACACATGTATCAGCAAACCCTTAACAACATCTCTTCCAACAACATGCAGCAACCTAAACAGCTGATACTAAACTATTTTTGATGATTCTAATGAGGCCCGAAATTTTTTAAAAGCAAAAAGGCACAATTTCTGCTAGGCAAAGACCATTTTTCCTCCAAAAAGATTAAAAAAATAAAAATTATTCCCTCAAATACATTACACAGACTGTCAGAAGTCAACAGGTTTTTTGAAACTGAGCCCTTTAATCTGGTTTGAAACACTTGGAGCCTGGATCTTTCGTTCATAGGAACAGGCAAATTTCCCTTGAAGTCAGCTGTGCCGGTTGCTATCAGCTCAGAGAATCTCTGCTTTAGGATTACAGAAATGTTTAATTTTTTTAAGGGCACAGGGGAGATGGAGTAGCAAGTCCACAAGCTGTGGCCCTGCCTAAGTATCACTGTGCCATGCTGCTTTGCCATTGAAGGTCCAGCTTCAAGGCTGCAGATCTGTCAGTGACCAAACTTGATGGACCACCCATTGGCCTTTTATTAAACAGCACTTGTTCCACCTCTAATCCTATCACTAGAGTAATCAAAGCTGCCATGTCCCAGGGTTTGATGGAACAGCAGGACCTGGGAAACGAAGACTGATTTTGTTAACAAAGTAATTTCTGCCTGGTGAATGCTGTCTCATTGCTAGAAAGTAGGGAGACAGGGTTTATTTGTGCAGAGAATGAGGCGGTAAAGAAATGAAAGGGGAAGAATGGTGAAGTGTGAAGTTTAATCTGGCACAGTCTAAGATTTCTTTCTTTGAGGCTGTCTCTGATCCAATCAACACCGGTTTGATATTTAACATCTCCCCCTGCAGTTTGAAATGATACCGGCCAGAGAATAACTCAGAAAACCCGACTAGAGGAGGAAGAGAAAAGGAGCTGCTCACAGCTCCCCTCTGGCCTAAGATCTCCCTGACAGATCCATCAGGATAGTCAGACCCTACACAAAATAGCCCTTACAAACCCTGGGATTAAAGGCATCTGGCACTAGCTGCCGGCAGACTCTCCCTGCAGTCAGAACTTGCGACAGGATGGGAGAAAGTTTTTATTTTTAACTCCAAGGAAGGGACATTCACAATTTCTCAGCTGAGGATCCTGCTATAGGGAAGGCTTTGAGCTCCAGCTACCAGAGCCTGTTCCGCAGGGCAGAGCGGTCTGACTCTCAGTGGGGATGAGATGTCAGCTGAGGACACACAGCAGCTGCCAGCCAAGGACACGCAGCACCTGGGTTACGAGCAGTCCCTGCAGCCCATGGCCCACCGTCTGCCCTCTGTGAGGGAAGGACTGTCAGAGGACACACAGACCCTCTCCCTTTAGCATCCTCCTCGCTCAAACATCAGTGTGAGGAGATATTTTTCACCACAGAACTGTGCAAGGGTCTTAAAAAGGAGGAGGAATTTGGAGCATCTCGTAACCTCAAAGCCCACCTGGCCCATCCTGTGCTGGCTGCAGTGCCTCTGCCTAGGATCAAAGACAAGGCCCTGCATGAGCTCCATCTGCCTTGCCACCAGCTTTTCTCAGTCCTGGACCACTTTTTGCACTGTAAATAAGCAGCTATATTGTCAGATAGAAAAGTTATCTGCTGCTTCTTTCTGCATTTTTTAACTTTTTCTATCTTGCCTTCAATGAAACCCTGAAACCACTTCTACCAAGAAGTGTTGAAATTTCAATCTCACCTACATCCGACTTCAATTCTCCTGTTGTGAGGCTCCCAGCTGAACTCTTTGCTGCAATTTGGAAGCCTTGCCACCAGCAACAACACCCAGATTTGTGCCACCAGCAGCTGCAGAGACACAGGGGAAGAGCAAAGATGCTCCAGGAGTGTGAGCATCCCACTGCATTCCCAACGTGCAGTGGGAAAGCACAGCAACAGGAACAATGCAAGTTTGGGAAAGCAGCTTCAAAACTCCGAGCAAAAACTCCAAGGGGGGGTACAAAATCCCAAACTACAAAGTTTGGGGGCTTACAACAAAAAACAATGCATTGTGCTCTTACCTGCAAGAGCTAGCTCTCCAGGAAGCAGCCAATTATATCAGCCACCTTAATCTTTTCATCCGGTTAAGACAATCAACATTTCAAAGCGACGCACAGAACGTTTCAAAGATCGTTCCTGGTCAAAAATGCAAGTGTATCCGCTTTCTTTCAGAGCAGATCAAAACCAAGCACCACACCGGGACCACTCCTAGATTTCTTCCTCCTCGCAGTATCAGATTAACAGATGCGGTGCGTGTAGTCAGATTAAATATTTGCAGTAGCACAAAGCTGCCTTTGAGGGGGAGAAGTAAAAAAGCCTTTTTCTTCTTTAATTTGCTAAGGGCAAAAATACTGGACTTTGGGGACGGGGGAAACAAAAGCACTGACACGGTTCAGCAAGGCTCCATTTTAAAACCTGAACTCTAAGTGCTGGAATTACAAGCAGTATCTCTGTAACAGTAATGCTGAAGACAGGTAAAAACTGCTGATGCCCTTAGCAGATTCAGGACCGTAATTTATCACAGCTGTTCCCATCAAACTGTGCAAACACCCTACAAGACAAAAGCTGCTTAATTTCTGATTTCCATTTTAGTGTGTTTTAATTACGTGTTGCTTAAGGAAGGCTCTAAGATGTGGAATTAGGAGGTGAAACCTAGCAATAGCAATCCACTCCACTAAATTAGCACAGTAATACAGCGAGCAGTAGGACTGCCAGACAGCATGATAACTTTACAAATTACTATTGTTAGCCAACCCGCCAGGTGTCAGGATGCATGAAATCTCGAGGAAGCGAGAAAATAAATAACTGGGTGGTTTTGCTTAATGTTGTCTCATGGTGTTCTGGTGGCCTTGTTCCCAGAAAAAGCTTCAGTGTATGAAAAATGCCCCGAATGCCAATGCGCAGAAGTAGCAATGTCAATTCTCTGCAATAATTACAATGTAATTTTTTGTATTGACTAAAATTTTTTTGCATAGATAATTTGCCTTTACTTGCTGGTAGCATTGACACTTTGGCTGCTCTTTTCTAGCCTAAATTGAAGGGGAAACTTTTGTTTCTGCTTAAAACATAGCAAATAAGAGTAAAACAAAGTTATGGTGAGAGCAGCTGTTGAGTGTGATACTCTCTCCCTTTTCCTGTCCCTCTCACTGCTCTCACCTAAAAAGAGTGCAGTATGATTCATTTCTAAAAGGTCTCCCAAAGGTACATCTTTAATCAAGTGCTTTCACTTGCTTGATTCTAACTTCCATTTCTGACCTATACAACCACATGCTACTGGATGTTTGCAGTGGTTAATTATTTTTACCTCACCTTGAAAAAGGAGTTCAGCAGCAAGGATAGGCACTGACACCTTTTAAACAGAAGAAAGTAAAACAAATTCCTTGCTTTGCATGCATGCTAAACAATGCAAACACTCAGGGGGCTTTTTAGATTTTTTTTCATCCTTCTTGTAATTACCCCAAAACTGTATGCAACCAATCTTCTCCTATGCCTGTCCACAGGCAGAATTAGTCCTCTAGCTGAGAACATCAGATGAATCATATGTAAGTGTAAGCTGCACTCTTCAGAGAGTCCCCACTACAGGGGAGAAGACACTCTAAGGACATTTAATCACACCAAAGATCAGCCTTTAATCCTTACTTGCACATCACCAAGAATTCTTTTGCTCAAACTAGGACAGTAAGATACAGCTGGAAAGAGCTGATTTAAAATTAATGCTGAAAGGAAAGCTAAAAATGAAATACTGTAACCGTAACTGACACCATTTTAAATTTCCTCTGGATTATTTGTTTTCTTCCACACACATTCATTTCCTGAATTTCTAGTAAATCTGATTTCGTATAAACAGTTTCACAAAGCAAAGTCAATAGCTGTGCCTGTGCTCCTGATTAATCCACTGAAATGAAATAGACCTTATGGCTTAGTATTTGGTTGTTTAAAGCTAAATCCACTGAAAGAATTCTGGAGTCCAGTTTCACCAATAACTTTTGTTTCTTAATCTACATCCTTTTCTTTCTTTTTTTTTCTGAACTTTACCTGTTCTAAAATGAAAAAAGTCCATACGGACTGAGCATTTAATTTCCCCCAGACCACAAGGACAACGTGTGCCATTTCTTCTGACCCGCAGTAACTATTAAAAGACAACCAACAGTTTGCACATACTTAAATCCATTTGAACAATTGCTGAATTTCTATTTCCATTGTTCATGCTTTATCCTCTTCGTGACAAGCACTGCAGAGCTGCTTTATTTAAAAACAAACAAACAAAAAAGCACTTTTTACTCCACTCCATCAGCTGAGGAGAGGCGTGGAAGCTTCCCTCGCAAGTGACAAGCCAGTGGACACACACATTCACACCCTGCACATTTGCCTCTCCACTAAATAATAGACAAGATAGATGTACAGCGCTTGCTGGGCACATCACAGCCTCTCTGAACGCAGCACGACGGAGATCCAGCAGCCCAATGCAAAGGCCCACACTGCAACACACCTCATCGCAACAGGTTTCAGGTTCACCTCAGTAAAGCAATAGGAGAAATAGGAGAGTGGCTGCAACCTCCTGGAACAAGCCACGAGGCCCAGAAGCCTCCTTACCTGGGAGAAGTTGAGCCCGTTCAGCGGGTGACACTGCTCCTCCACCCTCTCCACCGCGCCCGTCGTCTTCTTCATCCTCTCAGCCTCCTGGGCGAGGTAGAGATCAAGCACCGGCACTCCTCGGGAGCGGATGTCGGTCTCTGTCAAGGAGTTCACCATCAGCATCACCCAGACGGGCCTCTTGCGCTCCCAGTTGCCGGCGATGGCGTTGAAGAGGTAGTCAGCATAGAGCCCTTTGCCCCGCTGGTCCGGGGTCATCCAGTGGGGCAGCATCAGCTTGATGTAGTCCAGGTGGCGTTTGAGGCGGCGGTAAAGCTCCCGGGGCAGCACGTCCTGCAGGTTCTCCCCGTGGGGCAGCATCTGGCAGCTGGCCAGCCCCGAGATGGTGTAGGGGTCGGTGAGATCCAGCTCGAAGTAGACGCTGGAGCTGGCGTGGAAAGCGGCCTTAGAGTTGTCGGGGATGAAATCCCACACCCGCGTGTAGGGCACGTGGATGGTGCCGAAGAGATAGGCGGGGGGGTCGCGGCGGATGGTCCAGAGGAAGGAGTTCAGCTCTCCTTGCTGAGGGGAAGGAAAGCAGAGGACAGTGAGTGGCGGAGGGTCAAGAGCCACTGCAACAAGAACGAGCGACCCACGGGTGGCAGGGAACGCTGGGGGACCGTCCAGCACAGCCCCAGAGCAACACGAGCGCTCCATACCCACGCTATCCACACACACACACCCCCCACCAGCACACTGCACCCCTCACACGGGGCACCCGCGCACACCTGGGGGGCCACGCGTGTCCGCGGCGCCGCGTGGGGCAGCGCCTCCCCCGCGCCCCTCTCCGCCCCCCCGGCTCCGCGCGGCCCGGCTCACCGAGCGGGGCAGGTCGCACTGCCCCGTGTCCATCTGCTCCCGCCGGGCCGCGGCGTCGGGCAGGAAACCCCCGAAGACGAAGCAGATCAGCGTCAGGTTGAGTTGCATCCCGCTTCCTCTCGCTCTCCTCTCCTCTCTCTCCTTCCCAGATGAGCCTTTTTGGATTTCTAGGATCTTTTTTTTTTTTTTTCCCCCCCCCCCCCCCCGGTCTTCCCCCTTTTTTTTTTTTTTTTTTTTTTTTGTTTGTTGCTTTTTTTTTTTTTTCTTTTTCTTTTTTTTTTTTTTTTTTATTCAAACAAACTTTGCCAGTCCCATCTGCATCTGACAAGTGCAGGGGGAAGGACTGGCCGCCCCCTCCCTCCCATGCTCTCCCCCCTCCCGCCCTTCCCACCCCCACCCCCTCTGGCTCCGGGCTTGTCAGAGGCGCTGGATGCTTTGGGGAGGACGGTTCTCATCGCCAGCCTCCGCCATGCTTTGATTTTGCAGACTGGAGAAGCTCCCTTCCCGCCCCGCCGGTTCGGGAGGAGGTTGGGAGGGGAGGCGGGAATTAGCCAAAATAATAATAATAACAGTAATTAAAAAAAAAAAAAAAAAAAGAAAAAAAGAAAAAAAAAATCAGCACAGCAGCGGCAAAGAGAAGCTCCCGCGGAGCCCCGGGCCGGGAGGACGCTGCTCGGCGGGGCGGCGGCGCGCACCGCGCCGGGGAGGCCAAACTCGGGCTGCGGCGGAAAGTTTCGCGCAGCCGCCCCGGCCCGCCCGCGCCTCCCGCCGCCGTTTGGCCGGGCCGCCGCCAGGGGGCGATCGCTCCCCAGCGCAGCTGACGGAGGGGCGGTGGCGTCCCGCTCGCCGGCTCAGCACCTGTGTAGCGCTTCCAAAGCGGAGTTTCGAGCTTCCCGTCCCGCACGGCGTCACACAGTCACCCACGGGGGCTCTTCCCGAGCAGGAACGTCTCCTGAGGTTGCTCACAGCCTTCCGCTGGCTGCCGAGGCGGGAGGCGACGTGTCCTCACAGGCACTGCCTTTCCCCCTCCCCACCCCCCCAGAACATCACTGTAGCAGAGGGCACATAGAGGATATGCTGGCTGCACCCTGACCAGCTTCTCAGCCATCCCCACCATCTTGGTCACCTCAGCACCTCACAGGGATCAAAGCAAACCCCTCTGAGCGGTTCTGTTCACATCACTAATTATGCAGCTTCCACGCAGGAGGAAGTTGCAGGACACAGGCTAGTTCTTGCTGGCAGCACAGCCAGGATCTTTCTTTAGAAGCCCCTGCAGCAGGAACCAGGGCAGGCTGGAGATGTGTGGTAGCAACCATTGGTTACCTCAGCATCCTATCAGGGCACTAAGCACCACAGAGCAGACGGGATCCCAGCCTTCCCATCACCTCTATGACCATAAAACTTCCCCAAAACTGCAAACTTTCATGCTATTTGGAGAAGAATCAACGCAATCAGGCTTTCTTGGTGAAATATTAGCTGCTAGTGCCAGGCAAGGTCCTGGGCTCCAGAAGCTTTCCTGGCCATGGCAAAGAAATATTTCTAAGTGCTTCCCTGAGAGTGAAATAGAGGATAGGAGGCAGCAAGGTTGCAAAGTGCATGGATGACAGGGCAGTGCTGGTGGCCTGGTGTCCCCTGGGACACCTCCAGTGTTGTGACTGGCACTGGAGAAGATGCCCAAAAGATGATCTGAAAGACAACATGAGGCCTTCAGTCATGGACACACGTGCCGTGAGGCAGGGCGACTACCCTCACCAGTGGCATACATATCAAAGCACCCAGAGCAAGAATAAACAAATGTCTTTGGCTCTGTGCTCATCTTCCATTAGCCAAAAGGCAGGTGTGGTTGGGGGGAGGGGGACATAGCCAGTTTTCCAGCCGTTTCCCTGAACTCAACCCTGATGTTGCAAGAGCTGCCTAGCTGTGAAAACACAGCCTCGCCTTGATTTATGCTACTTGTGGGCAAGATGACTAAGAAAAAGGGGAAAGAAAAAAAAAAAAAAAAAAGAGCAGAACAGGACCAGAAATCCCAATGGGAACTCAGTGTGGGTGTGTACCAATTTGGTGGGACAGTCAGGTTGGGGAAACTCCAGCCAAAGCTGCGAGCGGTTAGGAAGAAGAGACCACAAACCACATGATATGTATCATGATGTGCCACTTAAGATTCAAAGCATGCCACAGCATTTTTGAACATTACTCTTAGGTACCAGGAAAAAGAAATTAATTCTTTTGTGTAATTGTAACATTTTTTTTTTTCCTCCTTCAGATGAGTTCCATATGTCCTCATGATTTTTTTTTTTTCCTTTAAACACAGCAGTTTAGAACAAATCTTAAGTAACATTTAGCCTGCTCCTAAAGTAAATATTTACAAAAACATTACATAATGGCTCTGATCTTTGGAAAATGTATATTGCTGCCTACCTGCTACTGTTTTGTTCCTATCGGGAATAATAGAGAAGCTTTATCATAACCCCCAAGGCCATAAAAGCAGTATAACAATGTGATTAGCAGTAATCAGATGGGAAATACTATTAAAAGCTTTGAAGAGATAAGAGGGATAAATGGCAAAGGGAAGGTTATGTTATTTTGTTTGTACAAATTTCCAGAAATCTAGTGGGGGAAATAGGCTTCTAATCTTACAAAAGCTGTATTGTTTTTTGGGAAGCGTTATAGTGTTGTCTGATATTTATGTCATGTATCATCTTCAAAGAGCTTTCCTGAATAAATATTAATCATTTCAGCAACCACTTAAAGGCAACCACTTCAGGGTGCAGCGAGGCAGTAACTTAACAAGTAAGTTGTAGTAAGTCAGGAAGTGAGGACAGCCAGATTCAGCAAGGAGCCCATGTGGGCACAAAAAATACTTGTGGAAGCTTTAACAATATCTTTAATCAGGCAAAGCAAAACCCCATGGAATAGAAGGCATATTTATTTGTTAGTGAGAAACTGGCATTGGAACTCGTAACTATGGTGAGTTTCCAACAGGCAAGAGATACTGGCTCTTGGAGAAAACAGTTTGTGAAGGATCAGTATCTAAGTGCAGGAGAGTGTAATTCTTTTTTATTTCTTAAATCAGAACATGCTCCTTACAGGACTAACTACCCTTTTGTCTCTTCTCTCACCTTTACTCCCAGGTGAAATACTGTTGGCTTGTGTGCTGTCTGTATTTCTATCACGCTGTACTTTCTTTTGAAGTATTTCAAAGAACTTACTGGATTATAAACTCTATTTCTTGCACCTTTTCTTGAATGAGGGACTCTGAACCACACATTCTCCCAGAAATTGTGCTGTGCCAAAACTGGAAGTCTGAGCTCCGCTTTTCCTTCATCCTTTTCCTACAAGTGAAGCTGGAGGTGTCTTTTGCCATCTCTGGTGGGAGCAGAAAATCCCTCTTTTTGTATGCTGCGAATCACAGAATAATTTCAGTTCTAAGGCATGTCAAGAGCAATGTCATCCAAATGGCCTTGCTCAAAGAAGGGTTAGACTCCATATCTGATCAGGTTGCTTAGGTACAAGTAAGAACCCTAATTGGATTTCTGTCTTGTGCACAGGTGGCATAATATGCAGCTGCCCTGAACTCATAAGTTAACAAGCCCAAAGCATTTGCACTGCTAGCTGTCATGCCATCACCTATGTGCCATGACACCCATGCTGTGAGGCATCTAGCAGGTACAGATTTTCCTGCAGAAGATTGATTTTGATGGTAGCAGTCGTATTCATGTGTAACATCACTGATCAGTCACGTAATTCATGATTCAAAACACACAGTTGTCAGAAGAACAAGCCTCTGCTTAAGGCTGTGTGTTCAATTATCGTAACTGTGTTAACATGTTTTACATCTTTTGTTTCTATTGCAACCAATATAACATATGATGTAGTATTGTTCTCAGTCTTATATGTGCTGTATGTGTATATATGTTGCCTGTTTGTCCTCATGTATCCAACTCAGCATGTTTTGTCTCAGAGCTCCACAAACAACCAATCTAGCTCTTGAACAAAATCCCCCTCGATCCTAACATCCTCCCATCTGAGGGCCAGGTATGAATTTTGCAGACCAACTAGTATTAATAGCTTGTATTACATTTTGCAAAGTCTCACCTTGTGCTGTGGCCCCTGCAATGACAGACCACATCCTGTCTGAGACTAGGCATGTAAATACACTAAAGAAAACCTTTCCCAGTGTTAGATTCCACTGTGCATTCTCCCTCCGTATAAAGTTTAGTCTGTGCTGATGTATGTATATAATACAAGCATTACATGTGCATACACCTAGGAAAGAGTACATATGTGTATTTATTTATATATATTGTGTTTACATACAAAAATATATGTATACACACAAACAGAACAGTGGGATAGGTGAGTGCTATTAACACTTCACTAAATGCTTTCCAGCTTTTGTTCTCTCATTCTCTTAAAGATATCCTGGATTTGGGCCAGCAAGGGCAGAAAGAACCTGCCCTGCTGTTCTTCTACTACAAGTACGGTGAATCCTGGCTTTTTGAGACCTTCCATCTGCAACTTGAGCCCTTGCATTACTGTCCCATCCCTTAAACATATTAAATCATAGAGATGCTGAAAGAAATGTCCAAAAGCAACTCATCTACCCAAGCAGGAGTAAGCTCCCTGCTGTGTAGCAAAATCTGTACTCAAGAAACAGCTACAATAGATCTTTTTCCTTGAGGCCTATTAAGCTGAGATTTCTTCCTGTTCAGCATAGTTCAATGTGCAGTTCCAGAAGTTCTATTTAATTTCATAAACAGTTTGAATGCCTTTCCCCCCCCCTCCCGGAGAAAAAAAATGAGAGTTCAGCTGCTCCAGAGTCCTTTAAGGCTCAACTCTTTAGCACTCATTTTGTTTTTCTGGTTTCCAGATTGCCATCACTTTCTACAGCCTTGATACAATTTTAGGTTTGCTAGTGCGTATTGATGAGAAGTCTGAGAGAAATTTCATTAGCAGGGATGATTCTTCATTGTAAAAAAAGATAAACCAGCCTTCCAAGATATTACTTCTGAAGGAAGATTCTATGTGTGACTTTAATTCTTTTAACCCAGGGAAGAATAACCCAAAAAATTGCAATTAGCACAGTGTGTGTGTGACTAGAACAGCTGGTTTACTAATAGCGTACCT